CGTATAAATGATGTCAATTAAATTGACTCACTATCCGTAGTCAAACTTTTTTAAATTTTGGGGTAGTTTACAAATGCACCGTAATGTTTATTGTAGGGCTTTATTATTAAGTATATACTTGTACATACAGTGTTGGGCTCGCTTATAAGTCCAGTAAAATTGAACTGGAACTGGACTTATAAAAAGTCCACTGGACTTATAAGTCCAGTAGTCCAGTTTATAAGTCCAGTAGAGCGGACTTTTGGTCCAGAGCCCAACACTGTGTACATAGGATTCGATAATACGTATGTAGGTATTACCCGTGTTATTTTTAATTAATAAGCATATATATGCATAAAATCCAACTATAGTATCATTGTTAATGCACCTCACATGGTTTTGAAAACCCCAATGCAAGACGCTAAGAGAATAATCGTAATATTGATCAAAAAGATACGTTTTACTGCCAAAAGAAATTAATTTTAAATATTAAAAACTTGCAATCTAATTAGTTACGATCAATTTGGGTCCTCGTGTAATTATTTTCACTTTGGGCCCTTGTTTGTAATTTTCATTTTTTGGGCCCTTATTTGTAATTTCCCCTAAATTTTTTATATTAAAATAAAAAAATTTCATATCTGCTGATTTTGATAAAGAAATCCAATCTCCCCAATATCGCATCTCATTAGACATGAAATTATATGTAATTGACGAAATACCTCTTTTACCTTATGTATAGAGATGGGCAAAGTAATTTTGTAAGTAATAATGACATATGACTTATCCCTTACTTAATATTAAGTAATATTAAATAATTATTACATTCAATTATCTATTACGTGTACATATAAAACACATGATAAAAGTCGGAGACAGGTGATCAAAATTGAGATTGAACGAAAAGGTGTTAATAATAATAAAATTATTGTAAAATTACTTAATAATACCTATTGCAAGGTAATATTAAGTATTATTAAGTAATAATATGTAACCGACTTTGCCCATCTCTACTTATGTACCTGGTTTTAATGTCAGAATTTATACATTACAATTTTGTATAGAATTATATTCAATAATGATATTTAGCGTTAAGTATCACTTCATGATACTAGTCATGTGGATATGGTAGATTTATATTCACTACGTATTATTAATATTAAATATATATTCAATAATCAATTGTAAAACTCTAAGCCTCGCGTTGCGAGTTTATATAAAATGAAAAACAAAACATATCGATATTTAAACTTTAATGAAATAATTTGAGTCTATAGATAGATTGTTTATTAGTCTCTGAAAAGTAATATTATTTTTGAGTGTATACATCTCTAAGTTCCTGAACTATTTTTCTACACCTCTTTCTCATTTCACGACCAGTGGGAATTTTGTCTTGTTCAAGTTCAAAAATTGAAGCAAATTCTTTTTCATCATCATGATGATGTGTTTGATAATATTTAACAACTTTTTGATAAAGCTGTTCTGTTATTGAGATAACATACACGCCACATTCTTTGGTATAAGGTAAAATAAAAATATTACTATGTATCGTAAGTTAAAATCAATTTAATAATCAAAATAAATTTAAAGCCATTTACCATTTCCTTTAAAGTTAATTGTGAAATAAAAATTAGTTTGAAGAAACCAATTATTCAATCATTTTAAGTAAAATCAGAAATCTCAAGAAACATCATTATTTACCGTTCTCTTGAAGAGGTGTTTTCATATTATGAAAAGATGATCCTGTAAAATTAATAATTCAAGTTTAATTAATAAATCTCTATATCTTATTCACAAAGTAAACAAAAAACTTTTATGATATACCAGTAACACCAAGTACCCCAGCAATTCTCATGGCATTATATTTAGCAACTCCCGTATTCATTCCACTAGCACTATCATAATGTAAGAATTTATTAGTTTTTCTAATAAATACCAATAAGCTCCAGTGATTTCCACCACGAGCTTTAGTCACATCAACATTATCATTTACTATCATAAATATAACTTGTGCAATAAAGATCTGTTTAGGAAGTGCGCCAGCAAGGAATGTAGAATCTGGCATAATATTTCATAAACAAAAAAGAAAAAATACAGATTTAGATAGTATAGGTCACACTATAAAGATGAAAGTGATTTATGAGATAAAACCTTGAATATTAGATATAAAAAAAGTAAGAGCAGCCCTAAGAAGAAAAACCTTTGATCGAGAGACATCATCATTTGAAGTTGTATTATGTTCAAGGTATCTTATATCATATCATAGGTTAGACCAAATTAATTGCAAAACATGAACAAGAGCCTTATGAAAAAAAAGCTCACTCTATAAACAAATCAATACATTTATCATTAAGCCATCGTCTATCTTCGAAAAGTTCAACATCCTTTTGAAAAAAAGGTTTATCGGTTATATTATTTATAAAATCTAGAAAATTTGCGTATGTATAGTAAGTATATTACCTCCAAGTCTACATCGGCATCATAATATGTCAAATATTTAGTTGACATAATTACTATTACAATTACTAACAAGATAATTATTAAGTATTTTAATTTTGAAGTTAACGGTGTTAAAGTCGCTATATTACAGTCTTAAGCACAAAATCAGCTAAAATCAAGTTTAAATAACCGCTATAGTAACACAATTGTAATCGGGCATCCCCTTTTTTTAGTTACATCCATGCTATATACTGAATGCACGCTTCATTCCACATAACAAACCTAGTACGAATTGGCACTTATTATATCCAACCTGGGTTTAGCATCTATAAGTATTAGATGAACATTGCATTATGTCATGCCTTGATGCGAATGACCTTGGATCAGAGTGTTATGTAGCAAATGCTTTAAAAATACAACTTTGGTTTTAATCTTGGAACAAATCAACTTGGATTATCTATAAAGAAATCGTTAGCAGTGTTTTGCAAGACTATGAATTATGGAGTGAATAACTTTGTTTGGAAGATAAAAAATGCATTACAGGGAAGTTTTACAAAAGCACCATCCTCCTCTGGATTTTAGAGCGAATAATTAGAATAAGATGGAAAAGCACTAGAGAGATTTTATAAGAATACCTTTGAATCTTTGAATGAACTTTGATCGGAGAAAAAAAGCTTTAATGAGGATTCTTCACAAGATCAGACACAATGTGCTATTTTTAGCAGCGCTAGTTCAACTAATGCAATTTTGATTCCCGAACAAAAATATATCATGAAATATTGTTTCACCTGAGATTTTTCGAGATTTTTTGTTGCATATCAATATCTTATATATAGGGTAGAACAAATATTATATGTTAAAGACCTTTATAAACTATACCAATAATTTGTTAATATTTTGATTCTTACAATGACATATGGGGACGCCCACAGCAAAACAAGCCATTGGGCAAAAAAAAAATTTTTTTTTAAAACTCAATTTCTCGAAGAATTAGAGTA